ACCAGTGTGGTTTCCTCCCTGCTGTTTGGTCAAATAAACAGTTTTCATGGTGGCTTTGATACCTGGTAATGCCCCGTAAAGATGGCCTAAAGGTAGTAAAGAATAAAAGAAAACAAGATAACCAAATAGTCAGAGAAGAAGAAGACAATATGTTGTTGATATGGAGATTAATTATAACAGAAAATAAATCTATATTCAATAATTTTAGTTCCATGATTGCAGACTGGATATTGATTGAATGTATTTTGTTGTCTGATAACAAAATGATCTTTATACTGAAGTGGGAGTAATGTAAAATCACTCAATGAACAAACGTATTAAGTTAGAGTCAAAGGTATCTTAAAGTTTGGTCGCTAAGGGCTTTATCTTGAATTAAGGGCTTTCTTAAGTAAAAGACCAAGACGTGGATAAAATCTTAAATCCTTATTCTGGAAACCTTAAGGTGAAAACGGTGTTTTTTAAAGAAACTGTAGGTAATGGCTGCAACGCATTATTTCATGATTTTACATATTCAGTTTTGCTCTGATACTACATCACATGACACTTGTTAGACGCTTGTATCCAAAGCGACTCAAATACTGTGGGCAATCCCCACAGGAGCAATTTGGGGTGAAGTGTGACACAACGACATGCTGACTGCAGTGGGGTTTGAACCTGTGACCCCCTGATCACAAGACCAACGCACAACCCACTGCGCCACACGCCTCCCACATGAACAATAACACTAAAATCCAAACTCACTTAATCAAGTAAATCTGTGTTTTTTGAGGTGCCTGAAGTGCACAGCGTTAGACATGTGATAACATCAGGACTCCAGCCATCCTGTCTCTCACGGTGCGTTCAATACCTGCTCTGAGTTATTCAACGGGGAATAGAGAGAGGCTGGATATCATAATGGATCATTTAGGCCGCGCTAATAATGCTCTGCACATCTCAGACCTGCTGGATTAGAGAGGAGAGGTCGATTCAGACGGCTTTATTCTTTCTTTATCCCATACTGTAAGCATTACACTGAGTTCACAGCTCCATCGTGAATAGACTTAAATACTGATTGTTGGTAATTATATATCAACAACTGCAGCAGAACAACAGGCTCCTTATGCTGCACGCTTCTACTTCAAAACGTCTGACTTCTTCTGAAAAAGAGACAGTCTTTTGTCCCCTATCTGTAGTCAAGAAACTATAAAGACTACAATTCTCACGGTGCCGAGAGACACAGAGATGGTGTGAAAGACGCCGTGGAGTCTATCGTTAAGTAAAGTTATATAAGCTTACACAAAGTAAACAAAGAAAGACGATCTGAGTTGTTTATTATCTGAGTTGTGGCTCGTTTGTGTTGATTTGTTTGACTCTGTTGTAAAAGCCTGTTTTCTTTATTGAATGTGTGAAAAGTTTAATATTATATAATATAACGCAAGTCCCACAATATCAACACATCATCGAGAGCCAGAAAAGTCATCATTACTGTGAGTAAAACTAATATATTGAGAGATAACGGGTTAGAAATGTCTGTTTTAGGCGACTAAGTGGCTTTTTGGAAACAAAGGAAGGAAGACGGAGGAAATACTCCATCTACTCCCATCTGTTTTTACATTATACCATGTCCTGATGCTTTCAACCAAAGCGAAGTACAATGACTTTATCGTAGAAAAGCCAACGTCATCTTGGGTTAAGTATCTCGCCCAAGGACACTTCAACATGCCGACCCTCCAGTTAGACAACCACTGAGCCAAAGCTAACCTCATTTGTGTATTAATGCTCATGTAAGGCACTTTGAATGTAGTCAAAATGTGATGAAAGCACTTAGCGTACTCTACTTTACAAATACATCTTTTAGGTGTGTAAAGTAATATGTGCCTGTTCAGGTGACAAGAAGAAGTAGATGTCCGACATCAAACCAAAGTAGAATTGTGAATGGATAACAATCGACTTAAAATCTGCCTGTTATTATTAAAAAATAATACATGCTATCGTTTAGTAACATCTGTTCTGTGTCAAAATAAGTCGTGAAAAATCTATTCTATGCAAAGTTTGTCAGGAAAATGTTATAAATGCCACAAAAAAATGTGTTTCCACTTCCCAAATATATATCAATTTAAAGGTCACCTATCATGCTATCTTTAGGCATATATTATGGGTCTCAGATATATACAAATATATAAAAACATGTCGATGATGTTTTATGATATCCCTCATATCCCTCTATTTAAGCCCTGTTAGAGAAACGCGGATTTTGGGTCCTTAGCTTAAAAAAAAAAAAAGAGGAGGCGGAGCTAATGCCTGATCAGAATTCTGGAGATAAAGTTAAATTCTGCTGTGATAAAACGCCATCCTGTTCTAAACCACATCAAGGATTATTTCTGAAACAGTATGGAGCTCAAATGCTTTTTCTCTTGCGGGTTTATCACAAGGTGAGTTCTTTTTTTATTTCCTGCTTTTTAAACACATGTGTTCTCCAGTACAGGTTAGCTCTGAGTGTTAGCGATGCTAAGGTAAACAAAGACGAGATTACGTCCAAAACACGTCAGGCATTGTTTCTGATAGCAACTTTCTGTGGGTCCACCATCTGAAATTACGTCATATTGGCAGCAAATCTGGATCACACCTGTTTTTTTAAAGATTTGGATACGGAGGAAAAGAGAAAGGGTTTTATTTTCTGACGCTGCGAGAGTTCCCCGACGCACCGGGACACATATTTATGTAGAGAAGACATCAGAAAGTGCATTTTCCATGATACAGTAGGTCTTGCACCTTGAATAAAGCATTATGTAAGGATGGCTCTGTTTAGATCCACCATTTTAACCAAAATGCCCCCAAAAAAACTATTTATTTTCTTCTATAACTCATTGCTATTAGGTGCCAAATATCCTCTTAGTCCCTCTGCTTCTTCCACATGAACAAAACACAACAACTGGATCAGAAATTGATGGAAAGAACATGTGTTTTCTCACGGCTTATTGGTGAAATAAACATTAAAGAAGCCACTATATATGTGAGCATCTGAGCTGATGATACTTTGTCCAACAGGCGAGAGGCGTTAAACTTGATGACCCTGAGAAACTATTTAAAATCCCAAATGACTTTTTTGCTAATTACACTGAAGGGCTCGCATATAAGAAGAAACCAAGTGGTTAACATTAATGAAAGTAAAATGGAGAAAGAACTGAAACATTAAAAAGATAATTATCAAACCAGGAAGGGTTGATCAAATAATGTTCTGCATCATGCAGCCAATTACTGACAGAGCGCCATCTGTGATTAGGAAAATCTGGATGCTGTCTGAGTAAGTTAAGACTCACTGATGTGATTGTAGTTTAAATAACGTGAAGTCGTGCACTGAACATCCAGCAATCTGTGTAGAAATACTGAGTGGCTCAAAGTGCACTAACTATTCATCCCCTTTGTAGGACTGATAAAAAGTTATATTATAAGTACTTGTTTAAAACAACACCTTGATATGGCTTCTGCAATATGTGACTGTTCATGTTAATACAATAAATATTCGTGTGTATCTTACTGTAAAGACTTTTACCAGAGAAAACTGAAAATGTTTTTAGACTCCATGAAGTGATTAAAGCTATAGTCAAATGCACGCTTCCACTAAATTCAATGCATCACGCTGTTAGGTTAAACTGTCATCATCCATTGTTAAGCACTGAGAAATATGAACTAGTGGAAGGATAATAGAGTGTGGCAGTCGTTTGTGTGACTGACCCGGAAGTTAGCATCTCCCTGGTTCACGGAAACTCAACAGGAATTTTTCATTGGATTTGGGATTATTGCAGAAAACAATCTCTGTTCAAATCTCTTCATATCTCGTGTTAACCGCAGATCTCATTTCAGGCATCTGACCAAAAACTATTTCAAAAAAACGTTGACTTTGAGACCAGGGAACAAGAAGTGCTACAATGCTAGCTCCCTGCTCATAGAGTCCTATTGTGAAGCAGGTAATGTTCAAAGTTGTATGTTAGAAATGTAAAGTCCCCAGCACATAGAAGCTGCCGGATGATGACTTGCATGTTGGGAAATGTTCACAATTAGCATTAGTTTAGTTAATTAGTATGAATTGCCATTATAGCCTATGTGGACAATAGTTAAAACATTTGGTTTTAGGGGTTATTGAGGATGCTGAGTCCATTTCTGACATTTTCAGAATAAAAGATGAACCAGAAAATGTCGTATTTGTACTGTCTGTGGGCTGATTTTGATTAATTTTGGGTCGATTTGGAAGATTTAGGGGACTCTCTGGATCATTTTGATTGGACAGGTTGCCTATTTATCTGAGAAAACAGTAGAGATGATATTAATGTCTATCTTGTGCTGTATCCAATGGTCTCAACACTTCTCATAGTAGTCAAAAACAGACTATAGGCTTCCCAAAGCAAACTGAAATTAAAAAAAGAGTTTTAAGTGCACCTGGCTGAAGTCCAGTGCGCCCAAAGGTGCCTATTTATTAAAACAAAATTGTGGTTTTAGGGGTTATTGAGGATGCTGAGTCAATTGCTGACATTTCCGGGATCAAAAATGGCAGGTTTAACCCGAAAATGTCATATTTGTACTCCTTGTTGTTTGATTTTGATGCATTTTGGGTCGATTTGGAAGATTTAGGGGATTCTGGATCGTCTGGATTGGACAGATTGCCTATTTAACTGAGAATTTTTTTTAATAAATTGTGCTCTCTGTATCCAATGGTCTCAACACTACTCATGGTAGTCAAAATCAGACTATAGGCTTCACAAAGCAAACTGAAATATAAACAAAAAAGATTGTTAAGTTTAGTTAATTAGCATTAATTAGCATTATAGCCATGTCGGACATTCCCAGGATAAAAAATGGCAGATTTAACCCAAAAATGTTATATTTGTACTCCTTGTTGTCTGATTTGTATATATTTTTAGCTGATTTGGAAGATGTAGGTATCCAATGCTCTCAACACTACTCATAGTCAAAATCAGACTATAGGCTTCACAAAGCAAGCTCAAATATAACAAAAAGTGCACCTGGCTGAAGTCCAGAGCGCCCAGAGGTGCTGTCAGAATCAGTCTTCGCACCAAGCTGGTCCGCGTGTTTCCCAAAAGTGCGAGGTCGGACAGGGAGCTCGCCGCGCTCCAGTCCACGCGCAAAGTACCGTCAGCGGCCACTGTCGGGAGGAAGAGAGCCACGTGAAGATCATGTGAAATGAACAAGTCGTAAAACTCATAGTCGCCACGCAAAAAGAACAAATTCTCGCTCCGAAAATAACGACTCACTTCCGCTCTCAAAGTGGCACGGAAACGTCGTTTGTTGTTATTTCTGGAGCAAGAACACGATCAACTATGAGTTTTAAAAGATGAGGAAAAGAAAGTACGAGTTGCTTTATGTTGCAGCATGCCAACACATGCCTCGACGGGGTTTCCCAGGCAGCCACGCAGGGGTCATGACCATATAAGGGAATGTGATGTTGATGCCATATCTCACTGCAGTTTCCCGCCAAAGAAAACCAAACACCTAGATAAAAAAATTCAAAAGGGAATTAAGGAAGTTAAAAAGGTACTAATTTATAAATATGTTGTTCATCTGCTTTAATTATTTAAAATAAGGGTTTTGAATGCATCTGTGAAGCAAAAAGACTTTAAAATATGTTAAATCTTGAAAAAGGACTAACAAATAATTCAGTAGGATATCGTTTCAAGATACCACAACAAATATATTTGACATTAACTTAAGAGATGAAGCCTTGGCATGTTTTGGGGGGTTGTTCAGAATATGATAAGCAACTGTAGGCTTGTACCATCATTGAAGACACAGGGTAAATACTTTAAAATAATAAATAACATCATGAAACTTCCCCAGTCGATTACTTACAGTTAAAGAATTTTTTTTTGTATTACATGTTTTCTTAAATGTCATGTTTAAGTATGCAAATGAGAGGTTAACCGGTTAAATATGGGCAGAAATGTGAACATTGGATAAAGCCAGGGTTTCTTTTTGGTGACATTTAAGAGTCAAAGGTTTTCTACAGAGGGGAGACTTCTTTATGTTGCTCCATAAACCAGAACATACTGCCCACAGCCACCATTTTTTACCATGTTTTTAGTAATAAAAATGAGTATAAATGAGGCTGTGAACGCTTTGTGAAGGACACCCTCTGTAAAAAGCTTCAGAAGATAGTAATGAAACTGGAGAGTGTAAAAGCTGCTGAAGTGGAGGTGAAATAAAACTCCCTTAAAGATATGGATTGTAAAATGCATACATTTTGTACAAACTACAGGTTAAAAGGGTCAAATGTACTTATAGATATCGCTATGAAACTTCAGTTCATCACTGACATTAAGACCATTATATTTCCTATTACAAGTTTTCTCAAATCTATAAATATGCATACAGTATGAGGCATTATCTAATGCACATTTTTGGAGAGTTTAGGAGAAATCTCCAGACTCAAATAGACGAAGAAGTGGGGATTGCTGTTAAAGGGGGGGTTAACAAACTCCCTTTCAGATATGTATTGTAAAATGCATACATTTTGTACAAACTACAGGTTAATAGGGTAAAATGTACTTATATATATCACTATGAAACGTCTCCAGGAGGACTTGTTGCATTCAAGAGATTCTAAAATCTTTAAATATGCATATGAGGCATTATCTAATGTTCATTTTTGGAGAATTTAGGAGAAGTCTATACAGACTCAAATAGACAGAGAATTAAATAAACACCTAAATATGGATTTTGGATTGCACTAGTCTGAAAGAAAACATGATTTAACAGCAGAAACTCTTTCATTTGACCACAGCATGAAGATATTGTTAGCCTCAAAGTAATGTTTTGCCTGTAGTGACTTGTCTTAAAATCCTAGTTTCAGAAACACACTTATTTGTATTATGCATGGTGCAAGTCAGGGCTGTGCTTTGTTGCAGCGTGCTCTGCAGAGACTACTTGTAGTGAGATAACATGGGTTTTTGGGCACAGATGCCTCCTTCCATGCACGTCCAAAGCCATGCCGAGTCATGCAGGTACTGTGAGCACAAGCTGTTGGATATTTCATGAAGTTTGTCGGAGGGAGAGAAAGCAGTGAAAGAAACAGTGAACAAGCGACATGCCTCCTGTGATGGCATTATGCATGTTTTACATCCCCTGCTGTTAAAACACGTCCTCTGACATCAAGATCGAGAGAAGCGAGCAAAGGTCACTGAGCAACCTTTCGGGCTGCAGACGTCACAAAGTGCATGTCTTTAGACGACTCGGTTGAATACACTGGGTTAACCTTTTTCTAACAGCTGCCCTCATCATGATCCGACACTCTTCACATGGAGCAGATGGTGCTTTTAAGAACAGGAGGTCTTTCCTCCCAGCGGCCGTCAAACTCCTCACCCTTCAGTAAAGGGAACTGAGAGCGTCCACACCACCACTATGTGCAATAGAAATACCTACCATCATTACACACTCTCTGCTATATAACATGTGCAATATCTTTATTACCAACCAACTATGTGCAATATATATGCCGTTAATAACTGTGCAATATATACTTGGCTGCAATTTCTCCATAGGATTTAGGAAAGTAGCTGGAAATAAGGTCTGTGGTTGAGACACATTGAAGAGACGGATCACGTTTTGTTCAGCCGGATAATCTCCACATGTCTACCCTACTTTCATAATGTTCGAATCATAAATCTAGTCCCCAGAAGCTAAATGCTAACGTTATGCTATAAAGGCACTACAGCCGAGTCCAGCTGCACGACTTCAACGTCACGCCAACTTCAGATCCATATTCAAACACACAGATTCTAAATGGAACGAGTTGGAGCGTTTGTTTGAACAGTCTGCAGGAGGCAGGGACTTGCTTTCAAGCAGAACAGAAACTAACTTAGAGGAGTGTTTACGTGTTCGGTGTAATGACGTACAACGACCTCCACGACTTCTGTAGTCCTATTCAGCCACTTGGTAACAACCATCGTTTTTCAGACACGTCAACTCTTCAGAAATCACCAGTGGGGTCACTGCTGATGTGTTTAATGTCCTAGAACAAAACGTGATCCGTCTCTTCAATGTGTCTCAACCACAGACCTTAGTTCAGCTACTTTCGAACATCCTATGGAGAGATCCCATTGGCTCTGAGACCAGGGAACAGGAAGTGGTAAAAACAAAACGTCCGGGTTTTAGGACGAGTCACTGTGGCACTGTATTACGTATCTGCCACTACGTCTTTTGCACTACTGAATACTGGTAATATTTACATTAATTATGAGACCATCTATGTTTCCTGTGGATATGTAATTGCTATTTTTACTGCACTGTTAGTGTACAGTTGTATTATTATCATGCTGATGTGTTTATTTTATTGTCTTTGTGTAACTCTGGTGCAACAATTTCCTTCGGGATGAATAAAGTCCTATCTTATCTTATCTTATCTTATCAGCACCTGAAGCAGCTCTCTCCCTCCCTCTCTCTCACACACACACGCACACACACACACACACACACACACACACACACACACACACACACACACACACACACACACACACACACACCACACACACACACACACACACACACTGCTCGCCACTCTCCAATTCAGATTTGCAAAACGAGATTAAAAGGTGGATCCCTGAATGTCAGCGCCTGGCTCTTGTTCCTCTGCAGGGAGGCGTTTCCTGTTACTGTGTGTGTGAGAAGAACCGCTCGCTCCATTAGTCTGTGGCACCCAATCTCCAACACTCGGTCCACTATGAGGAGCAATCACTCCGCCCCGGGTACCAAAACCTGCCCGTTTAGCGTACGGAGCTCAGGTTGCCCCACTGGCTGAACTCAATATGTGCCGTTTAATTGGCTGTGAAGAGATCGGATGCCCGGGGTGTATTGTATCGTTGAATCTAGGCCACCTTGCTCAATGAAAGTATTGTTCGAGGAGTGAAAGATGCCCACTTGTTTTGTTAAAAAGCTTCAGATGAACGTCCAGTCATTTGAATTTGAGCCCTGTGTATGCAGGCGCTGTTTTCCTACACCGAGAGAGAATTTAAAGTGACACGTCAGCAACTCACTGTCAGAAAACACCCGTTTGACCATGAGTTTGTTGAGCTGGTTTATTTCATTTAACTGCGACACACGTTAACAAAAGACATCGCACTCACTTCAGCAGAAATGTGTTGCGTCCACGTCTAGAGCTGCGGAGATATTATCTATTCAATTCATGTCAAACTGGTTGTATTCTTCTTATCGGATTATTCAACAAATTATGTTGTTTTTTGTTAAAGTAGACTTTGTTCATTTCTGTCCTTTTAAAGCTGCTAGACTTTTATTTCCGGAAATGTAGGGCTGCTCGATTATGGCAAAAATCATAATCTTGATTTTTTGGGTTAATAATTGATATCACGATTATTAAAAACAATTATCCATATACTTTGAAAACATCCATTTATTTAAAAAAACTGTTGATTACCCTGAACTTTAAAGGTGGGGTAGGTACGTTTGAGGAACCGGCTCGTGATACACTTGTTGTTATATTCCATGGAATGCTCTTAACATCCCGATAGCAATGAATATCTGAAGTGCTTTGACAACAAATCCATACAAATATCTCATCTCTGGAAGCCGTGGCGCTGTAAAAAGCACGACCAATCAAATAAGCCGGCCCGGCTGAAGTAACTTGATGGCCTACCTGCCTGTCAGCCTTCCATCTGGGAACAAACTGATCTCGTGCCCTCATTGGTCATGTGCGCGTTCGTGTGTGTTGGAGGAGGGGCTCTGTGAGGAAGTGGCAGATTTTCTACGGTCGTGTATTTTCAAATTCTGGCGATCTCGAGCCGGTTTCTCAAACGTACCTACCCTACCTTTAAAGGTTGGGTAGGTACGTTTCAGAAACCGGCACGAGTGCACTAAAATTTGAAAATACACAGCTGAAAAGAATCCAGAGATTACAGAGCACCTCCTCCAACACACATGAACGCGCAATGCACGCCCCAATGAGGGCACGAGATACATTTGTGCGTGCACGAGATGGAAGGCTGACAGACAGGGCGGCAACCCAATCCGTTTAGCCGGCCCGGCTAAAATGATTGGTCGTCCTTTTTACAGCGCCACGACTTCCACAGATGACATTTTCTTATGTATTTTTTGTCAAAGCGCTTCAGATATTCATTGCTATCGGGATGTTAAGAGCATTCCATGGAATATAACAAAAAGTGTATCTCGAGCCGGTTTCTCAAACTTACCTACCCCACCTTTAAGTATAATTCAACCGAAAAACCAATACAAAATAAATAAA